CGTCTGGCTTTTCTTTGCGGCTCCTAAGTTTCCCTCCCTGCGTGCAGGCCCCCATTAGCACCAGCAGGAGTTGAGCTGAGCATAAAGGGAGCAGGTGAATCTCCTCAAGCGAGCAACTGCGGCTGGCAGCCATCGTGGTGCCTGAGAGGAGCCTTTCCGGCCCTCTTCATTGCCTACCACCATCAGACTTGCCCAGACCTTGTTTGTGCAGCTCCTCTTCACTGCTCAGCCGTGGTCTTCATGCCACTTCCCCATGACAGCTGTACACTTCCCAGGCAGCACTTACGGGGGAGAAGCGGGGAGGCACAGGATGCATAAGGAATGTGTTTGGCTTGCTTTGCAGTGAGTTTTGTGTTTCAGCGAGCGCAGATCCCGTTGCAGCGAGGTGCCTGACAAGGGGTGCCTGCTGCAGGGGCGGCCGCACAGGGGCTCCGCGTGTCGTTTAATGGGATGTTGTTTTGTCTCTCTCAGGCTCAGGTCACAGTGAATGGGAACTCTGGCACTGCTGCCAGCCCAGTGAGCCACTTTCAAAGGCCTTTTTCCCCTTCTTCAGCTTTCCCTCCACCAGCTTCTCTCAATTCCAACATTGTTATCATGCAGCATGGCAGGATGATGGGTAAGCCTTTCTCGAAACATTTACTTTATACATTATGCAGCATATTCCGTTTCATTTGGCCAGGATTGCAAACGCTTGCAGAGTTCTATAGAGCCATAGTGAAGGTACTGTCTGCTCTGCTACCTTGGAGGGTAAGAAGAAATAATAGTGCAAGAATTAGTAGTGTTTATTGTTAGCTACATGGAATTATGAAGTTGTATCCCTTGCGTGCATGAGAGTGGCCTCTCACCACTCTTTTTCAGTACCTGTGCTGAGGAAAGAGCCTAAGTCAATACAACTCAACTTGCACAGCCCCCTTAGGATTTTGCCCACTTTAAGAAACTAGTGGCCCATTTTGTACATTGCTTCTTCCTACAACTTCTGTAATCTGCAGTGAAAACACTGCCACAAAGCATGCATCTCTGGGCTTTTTAAAGCACATGAAGTCCTATCAAATTATAATTTAATTATTCATTTTTCAGGGTTTTACTTTTTGTTTTGAATATTTAAATAATCAGTCCCATAAAGGAACTTTCTGTTTTGTCGGTATTATCCAGTTTTGTCAATACAGTCATTTGCTTGCCCTTTTTTTTCTGCTAGTATTTGCATTTTTAGATAACATACACATGCAAAGGCCCCTTTGAATGCGATCCTAGAGTTTGCTTCTTAGTTGTGCAGACAGGCAAATTAAATGACAGTTTCAGCTCTGAGACTTATGGCTTAGGTAAATGCTGCTTAACCACGTCTAAGTGATACGTGCAGAAACTGTGTGTGTGGGGTTCTCCACATCCCAAAGCACCAGGTTCTTTGTTTGCTTCTACTTTCCTGATTTTAATCTTTACCAATTTTGTTTCAGAAGTATCTGGAGCAAATGAAATGCTTTCCCACATCTTGTACTCTCGTGTGTTTCTCATGAAAAATCTCACTGATGGCAACAGTTCGAAGCCTACAAAGAGTGAAGGCTTAAATCCCAAATGTTTTCTAAATTTGACATCGTGCGCTTTGGGAAAAAGGCCCAAATATTCAGACATTTGCCCCACAGAGATGCCCCTCACCATATATGTGTAGTACTGGGTTATTTACAGGATTTCAAACTTGAATAAACAGCTGAAACAGTCATGCCAAGTACAACTCTTTACAGTAGTAAGAGGCAGAAATATTTGAATTAAAATTAGAGCTTTCAGTAACCAGGCACTTTTCACTGAATTATATCACAGTTCAAAAAATCAATCTTTTGCTTCAAAAAATCAAAGGTTTTTAATGTCACATGAAAGGCAATTATAATCTTTGCCAGTAGTGCTAGAAATATTTATCTTTGCCCCCTACTCTCCTTTCTCCTGCAGTAGGGATGTCTGACAAACACCGTACCTGCTCCTGCACAAAAACGCAGTAGTTATAATGGCCTACAAGTTATTTACTGAAGAAACCCACTGCCTGAGAGACAAGGGCTTTTTCTCTTGCATGCAAGAGAAAATTACCTCATCTAGACACCAGAGAATTTCACATGACACATCCCAGCAGTGAAGCATTTTTTGTTAAATCATTGACTTGCTCTGAATTTGAGAGGTAGATGGTATGGTAACAGTGATATATTAATTTAGTTAATTATAAAGCGAGATTTTCACGAGAGTAATAGAACTGTTGCAAGCTGGTAGGGACCAGCAGCAGCTTGCAGTAGACCCAAAGTCCAATGGGTAGATTATCAGGCTGCTTTACAGATGCCAAGTTTCGGAGGTTCATTTTTACAGGCTGCACAGTGAGGTACTTGAACGTACCAACAAACCTGGAGGAGGCGAAAACTGTTTCCAGGCATTTCCTTTAAATAATGTTATGTATCAGAACTTGATGTTTCTAACCGATATCATGTGAATCTTTGTCAAACGTCGAGTGAAATCTATTGCTGTATTTGCAGGACAGTAATTTTTCATATTGTGCTACTTTGGGGAGGAGAAGTAGTATTGAAATTAAATCACTAGTTCAAAGCAGGAGAAGGAAAGATGCAATTTTGATTTATACCAAAAAAAGGTTGTGCTACCACTGTCTCTCTGTAGATTTTGCTGGACTTGTGTTTCTTTTTTCCTTTTTGCATGATCAAGAAGCTATGAAAAAGTGCATCTAACCTAAGAAATTCTGAGCTGAACAGCCTAATACGTTAACATGCCTATAGCTTGGGTGGTGTAGGAGGAAGCCGGGGGCAGCCCCCGCTAAGATAATATTTTTACGAAACGCGTGTGCGCGTGATTGTCGTGAGCCTTCCTACAGCACGTTGAAACTGCGAAGAGCAACTGCTAAGTCTGCCTGTGCCGTTACACAACGTTGTGTCGCGTTATCTCCACAGAGTCCACAGAGACATACTCACAGCACGTTCAGTCTGTTGGCAGCAGCAGCAGCACCAGCACAATACCCATCTGTAGATCCTCAGAGGAAGAGAAAAAAATTACAGTCATTAAAGCTCCACATTATGCAGGGATTGGCCCGGTAGATGAATCTGGAATCCCTACAGCAATTAGAACGGTAGGAAATTCTGGGGAATCTGTGTGTGAACTCGCACAATGGCTTGATTGTTGGTAATGGGTTTTTCACATTCTTCTGGTCTTATATAATGCGGGATACAGCGCGCGTAATCACGGGGCTCATGAATATAATATTGTGTATTGAAGGAAAAGGAGCCTGCTGACAGGAGCATAATTGGGCAACCTCATGTTTCTAGCTTTAATTATGAGTAGTCAGAATTTTGTCTCTTGCGTCCTTGTCTTTTGGATGGGGCAGTAATTGCATTTGTCATGTCATTTTTAAAATCTAAGGAGAATTTTATATGTACTATATATATGTGTATGTGTTTGTGTGCATGCAAATATATATATACATACATATATTTATATGTATGCATACATATGTGTATATATAAAAATATATCCACTTCACGTTCCTGCATTTTGGGGTGGGTATTTTTCTCATTCCATCAGCATTGTGTAGAAATTAATAATGTTGCCCTGACCATTATCCAAGTGACTGGCGTGGTCACGGGAGCGCGATGCCGAAGCATCGCGCCCTGGGTGACGTGGAGCCCCGCAGCGGGGAAGCCCTCGGGATGCGGCGCGGGGCCGCTCGCGCGCTGAGACGCT